AGAACAGAAAAACAAAAAGAAAACAAAGAGGTAAACTCGGTCCTGCTTGGCAAAGCAGCACCAAACAACCTTTCACGAAAAGGATGAATCAGTCTATCAGCCTCCCCGCAACACTCACCCAAATTGAATGTGAAAAGACAAGCACAAACGTGGCTTTATATTTCCGCGCTCCATTTTGCACATTCGGTGAGTAGGGTGGCAAAGCCCTATTTCCGCTGCGGTTGCTCTAGCGCCCCCGGTGTCTCTGTCAGACGGATTGTGGGCAAGCGCAGATTTCAGTGCCAATCCTGGGGGGCATGCCTGAGTGCATTTCTAGGTGCACGCAGACATGTTAGGCGCAAGAGCTGCAAGGGAAAACTATCCAGGCGATGAAAGATAACATCACTGAAAAATAAAAAGAGAAACTCCCATCATGCACCCAGTGCTACCCACCATTGAGGAGAAGTCAGAAGTGAACAGTTCACCTCCTTCCCCCTCCCCCCCGATCCCTCTCCCCCAATCCCACAGGCCACAGGCCACCTGAACCAATTAAACAGGGAGGGACAAATAGCTCAGTTGGTAGAGCACGTGAGTGGCATTCAGGAGGGCATGGCTCCGATTCCCCTTGTCGTCCATCTGATTCCCCGTAGCCCCTGTGGTGCACTTTGGGTTCACCAGCTGAAATAGTTGGCTCCCCCCCCCTCCTCCTCCTTGGTAGAGCATGTGAGTGGCATTCCGGAGGGCATGGCTTCGATTGCCCACACCATGCATCTGATTCCCCGTGGCCCCTGTGGTGCACTTCGGTTTCACCAGCTAAGATAGTTGGCTCCTCGCCCCCCCCCCACACACACAATCCCCTCCCCTAAGCTGATCTTGGTAGGAGCCCCTCCCTTCCATCCTTCACCAGGGGTTAGGCTGAGACAGAGAAGGAGAAAGGCTAGTAAGGAAAAACTACTAGACCAACCAATCCCTGCTGCTAGGTAGTGTGAGGCATATTGTGAGAAGAATATAGCTTAGCTTTATTTTTTTTAAAAAGGGACAAAAATCAAATGCTGTGAGTTCGAGGAACCACAAAATGAAGTCGCCACGTACAAAGAGACGAAAGAACTAGAGTTCAAGCCCGAGTTGGAATAACATAACGAGTGTACAAAAGGACTCCTTCAACGACATAATATATGCATGGGAGACTTTTTTGAATGAAAACATTTGGGGTAAAAAGGTTGGGTTG